TAGCAGTTTACTAATCAAGCCGACGATAGATAAATTCGAAAGCAATTGTTTAATGTTCCGCTATTTTGCTTTTTTTGGAAAACATAACGAAAATTAAAGTAAGATTTTAAGTCACGTATCCCATTGCACAAGAATCGCATGATGTGGTATGCATCTACTTGTCGCTTATATACATCTTACCTCTAGATTTATATCACAATATCATTTGAATAAACACTCATTTGGGTGATAAATAACGTTTGTAAAATCCTTTTAAATATCTGAATATTTCCATAAACTTAATTATAATTTTGTGCTTTGTTCTTATTTATGTATACAATAAAATTGGTTTCATCCAAAAGCGATACATTTCTGTTTCAACCGTCACCAAAATATCTGAATTCTATGTTTTTTTATCGTTTCATCTAAATCCTAATAGATCTACAACAGACCTGTATTTTCAATTATGTTTACAAGAGAAGATGCAAAGTTAAAGGATGCTATATCCGTCTATAAAATGTCCTATGCCACCCTCTCCTGTCCTTTATGATGGTCCAAAACTATTATTTCTTTATAAGCTATTCCATTTTTGTCCAAACGTTCGCTGTCCTCTAGCAATATAGAGCTTTTCGCATCGTGTAATATGATCCTTTCAGCTATAATGATGGTTAGGTAAATATGTTGTTTGTTTATTTGATAACTATTGCCATTTTAAAAGCTCAATATTTTGATTTTGGCCTTCGCAATCAATGTGTGTAGGCTACGTGTCCTGATGAAACACAATTCCTCCTTTATTGGAAGCTACCCTTCTTTGTGGGCAGTCGCTTCAGACGGTCAATTGTTGATACATGTTCAGATTACGCGTTTGGCCGTAGGGTATCAGCTCATGATAGAAACACATCAAAACCTGACGTCAAACATTCTTTGACCACCGCTTGTGACGGCTCTCAGTCACTCATACATCAGGCTTACTTTTGTATTCAGCATTATTTAAATGGTTTCAAACGGTTTTGGTTCACTATTTAGCTTCTCGAAGAAGTGTTTATATCACAGTCGACTCGACGATTACCATTATTTCATCGATATTTCCGAGCAAATCGACACAAAGACGACTGAGGACAGCAGAATTTTCTTGCCGCCAAATAACGTTTTGACGCCAGCTTCGAATATTTTGAAGACAGCGGCGGCAGATCAAACAGCTGATGTATATAGTTTCGTTTGTTGAGTACTAAAACCTTTCCTTCAAGGAAATTTAAATATTTTGTAAAGTGATTTTTGCAAACCATAATCAAATGGGTCAGATTATCAATTGTTATTACAAATTTATGCTTCTGTTGGTAAAATAACGTTAGACTTGTTAGAGTTTTGAATAACATTTACTTATATAACTTATTAGTGGCATCACTACAGCTGTGTGTACTTTAATATACTGAAAATCAGAATCGACTTGGATTTCACAACATCCATGATAATTAAGATACAAAAATGAATTTTCACACAAAGAATCGTATTAGTGAGCGACCCCTGTGGCTTGTAAATTTTTTAAAAGTGGGCTTGGCACTGCCCCCTAATAAGTTTAACGTATATATCTATATAACATAACTATAATAAAATTTAGTTGGTTTTATACTGTATATATCGGTCAATATGTAAGATAGGGTGCGGTCGAGATGGCAGTGTTGCAAATTTGTCAAAGTAACACGTTCTGCGGGAATTTTTGGCAACACTTGCAACAACACGTTCTACTCTCTCTTTTTGCACGCAATTTATGTAAATAATCGCCAACACTAAATATTTGTCTGCACGTCAGCGAGTATCAGGAAATATGCAAGATAGGTGCTGTACTGCAGTAATTATTACGTAGCTCGAAAGCACCCATTGCTTGAGTTGAGGAATTACATTTTGTAGATACAATTTGAATTCCAGGAGTAATTGGTTGTAATGAAATTTATTGTAATATTTTAAATTCTTTACTTTAATGGTTCTTGTCTTCCTTGACGAATTTAAAGCAATAACAAGTTAACGTAATTTAATGTTCGAAAAATGCAAATTAACGTAACAACACTTTTCATAAGTTTACAGGAGAAGGAAAAACCGATATCAAAAAATTTTATTTTGGTTATAACGTGGTTGTATTTGATAGCATCCGCTTAAAACTTGGTATGTGTATATAAATGTAATGAACCGTAATCAATAAAAAAAACTAAATAACTAAATTATTCCAACGTTCGTTTCAAAAATGTATGTTTTAAAAACAAATTATATTTATAACGAAAAAAGTTACATGTGATTTCATTCAAAAGTTCTCAATTTATTGTGCTAATCGACGCCATCTCTGCTTGTTTTTTTTTAAATGAAAAAAGTGGATTTAGTATTCTGATGGCAAAATACACTGTCCATGCAAAGCCATAGCTAAGTGTTAAGACGAATCGGTTCCAGCTAACGATTGAATACTGGTTTGGCAAATTTTATCATAATTGTACCAGCATACACTGTTAAAGACCACGGTCACAAGGGGCAGTCACACTTAAAAACAATGTGAAAATTCCAGAAATTCTTTTGTATGGCCATAAATTGAAATTGTTTGAGTAAGTTAACATCCAATTTTTCCATTCCAAGGGAATATCACTCACAAATTTTTACAACAATTTTGGGTATGCCAGTCTTCAAGCCACCAGAATGTGGCTTTATTTATACCCCTATTACGGTTTTAACTCCACTCGGTTGTAGTTTGATTGGTGTTATCAACACAATAAATGAGATTTGACAAAAAATTAAACTTTAAACGAAAAGTCAAAACAATTTAATTTAGCTAATGCTCACAAAAAGGTTAATAGTTATTAAAATGGACATTAGTTTTGATTTATATTACAATGACAAAAATGTTGGAGCCAAAACTGATGTGCTGCGCATAATAAAAAGGCTTTGTGATCACTCAAATCCCTTCGAACTTCCTAACACCATGTAAGCCAAAGTTTTATAGACAATCAAATGACTTTTAAATAGTGTTTATTGCACATTCATTTGGCTTAAATGAGGAATCATTTTTTTTTATTTTTACTAAATGAGATGAATGAACGTCACCACAAACACCATTTCCTTGCTGCTTGTAGTTATGAAGAATACATTTTTATTGATTTTAACTTTGAGCTGAAGCAACTTGCAATATCTATGGTTGTTACAAAACCTTCTTTTAAATATTATGAACAACATATTTGTGCGATGTGGATAAAACACCAATGACTGAGAGGAGCAAAAGGCTTTCAAAATTTAATTTTACTCAAAATGAATATTCCTAGGAGTAGTAGATTATATCGACTCTTCTATGTTCGAAACACTTCCCACGGTCTCTTAATTTTATTTTAATGTTTCAAATTTTATCTTGTCTCGTCCAGTTTCGAGATTTTACTCCACGAGTTCAACAAATTTTTCACCTTTCTATGGATTAAAATTCTGATTTTAAAATTATAATTAAAATAGTTCTTTATACCCATTTTCCATTAATGTTTTTATTAAATAAATGTATTAATATGCCACCACAACTGCTTGTTAGCTGATCGGAGTTTCCTACAATAAAGGTCTCAATCCGTGTTCCTAAGGTGAATATACCGTTCATTATATTCAGGATAACGAAATGTTTCCTTTGATGGTAAGGTGAGGTCAACGACTTCTTATCTGCTTGCAGTTACATAATTGTGGGAGTTTTCCCTCTTAAAAATAAATATTTCCTCGCTACCAACGAAATTAATAAGTGACTCATCTCTAGCATTTATGTCCGAGCTTTCACAGATAATGTGTTCTTGAGTGTGTCTAACAATATTTGGTTTCAACCTAAGAAAAATAATACAAATATAATATTTTACTATAGGATAAATTTATTTACATATTTAAAAAATACAATGCAAAGAAACAGTATTGTTAAAAAACGCCAGCAATCTGCAGAGCAAAAGTATGGTAGAAACGCAATTGCTGTTGTTTTTGTGACGGTAGTCTGGCCGGTAAGGCGGCTTCGGCCCAAGCAGATTACTGCGAAGATGATTTCTGCGAAAACATGTCAGCAGAAGCTACAAGGAGAGAGTATACTGTGTTACTTAATTGGAACCATGCTATGGATGATCGTCCTTGAATGACGATCATCCCGGCCATTAGTACTGCGAGTTACGGTGTCATTATATAATTTGTCGCTGCTATGTAGCTTCTCACAGGCAAACAAGCATTTGATATTAAGTGCTAAGAGTTTGCTCGATACTGTTCCGAAACCAACCACCCATGTAAATTAATTTACCGAGTTTAATTTTTATTATAAAAAGTAAACTATAGAAACTCCGTTTCTAAAACATGTTTTTGATTTGATGAATTAATCATCAGTGAGTATAATACTTAACGGAATGCTCCAAGAAAATATATCTACAAGTATCTCCGGTTCTCAACATCAATTTCTGCAAAAACTCATCGGTTCAAGTTAAAATTCACCTCTCTAATAAAGCAAAGCGCAATCAAGAGAAAATTCACAGAAGCGTCGCGAACCTTAGCTGTGGTGACAATGAGAACTGAATAGAAGATGGCAAAATAAAGTTCGACACAACTCTGCAACAAGTGTTATAGAACAGTTGTGTTATTTGAACATATTGGAAAAGATGAATTCGAACACGAAAATATCTCTTATGTGAAGGTTTTGCTTTATATGCGTTGAGGGAGTGTTGATGTACGTGTTCAACGATGTGGGCGCTTCCCTTGAGACGAGTTTGATAGGTGTCCCTCTATAGCCAAGGTGCGATCAATGCGAATTTGTTGTTTACATTTGTATAATTTTCTGTGACTTACAATCTATTTGTATACAGTTATCGCTCAAAATACATTTTCATCGGCTTAAGTTTTTTAAAAATTTAATTTGTATTAAAAATAAAAAACAAAACGGCTGATTTTGACATTATGAGTTAAAACACTTTTGGAAATTTGTTGTTTTTGGGCTATCGACCCAACTTTATATAATTGAATTATTGTATTACTTATATGTACAAAACTTTTACTGTAACCTAACAAATGTCAGAAAAATTTAGAATTTATGGGGGCATGCGCAAGATATTGCTTAGTATGGAAACAAGCTACATAGGAAAAATCAATACTAGTGGAATACTGTATGTAAACATAATAATGTTTGTAATTGGTTCTTAAGCAATAGAAATGTTTTCAAATAGTGCCATAGATCATACAAATTTATTTATAAACAATAAACAATATTCAGATATTCTGAGATGGACTCAAGTCATCAGATCAGCGTCCCACTTCGCACAGGAGGCAAAAAAATACGAAAGCGGCGGGAACTTGACGCTCTTATTGCTCATTCCTTCGGGAAAAAAAGGTCCATTCGGCGAACTATGTTAAACATTAACTCACAGGAAAAATTACTATCTGCGTCCACCGATGATGCAGACGATTATACTTGCGTACATATGAACAGAGTAAGTTATAATCATAAAAAAAAGAAGTTTATAAAAATGTGTTGAGTTTTAGCCAAAAAATACTCATAGCATCTGCACAAACCGTTGTCACAATCGTAAATATTTGATTTGCAAACCTTTGCTAGTGCTCATTGCAATTGCAGTAATAATAGGACTACTTTACTGGATGCACTTGGATCTACGGCAGGAGATGTTTGTTTATAGGAAAAAAATTGAAGAAGGTATGAATAAGAATTCCGTCTTTCGAATATTTTTCTGATTGGTCATTCGGAAGTTCATAAAACTTATGTATACTCATAAACTTTATGTCGTAAATTATTTTGGGTGTATGAATGTATGACTTGAATATATATGAATATTAAGATAAAAGATTTTTTTATTTTTGTTATAAAATAAGTATAAATCATTAGTAATGTGATTTCTCATCCAAAATAGGAATAAAAGTATTCGACGTTTGAAATTGAGCATATATCTTAGTAAAAAGTACATACATGTATATTTTATTTGATAGCAGAATTACATTAAAATTTCATACAATTACAAACATATGTTATGTGGTGTGGTAAATCGTAATCAATGAAAGATTCAATTTCGAATTTTTTGACGATGCGTTGTGTTGTCTTTGGCCTTTAGTATTTATAAACGTATAGTTTGAATTCGGGCCCTAACTTAGAAATATAAAGAAATCACTTGTGATTATTGTCTCAACAAACAAAAAAGGTAGCGCTAAAATCGTGTGTAACCGAACATTTTATACTTTTGCAATTTGCAGGATGAAAGCCAGGGACTTCAAGTGTTTGCAAAACTTTAAAATAAAAGATGTTGCGAAAGAATTTAAGATTCATTGTTCGAGGAAATCTTCAATGGATTACAATCAAAAGTTTATCTTAATAACTTATATAATATGGTAGAGAGACTCACTTAATTTTATTGCTATATTTTGATTCTGTATAATTATATTAAAATAATCCTCAAATAAGATAACCTATATGACATATAATCTACCAAAGGGGCTAAATTTAATACATTGAGTTGATGTGTAAAACGTCAGCCAGAAGATCGGAATTGAATATTAGGGTATAAGGTTTGGACCAAGGTCTAGACTAGTTTCATTCATATTCTGCGCTAAGCCACATAATTAAAAAAAAAAAGTTTGCCCATTTAATTTCATCAAACTATCTCACATTTTTACCAACCTAAATGGTTTAAAGTCAGGTAGAAAAACGGAAATCACAGTATAGGGTATATTGGGTCATTGCTCAAGAACACATTTTCAAGCAATTTTATAAATAAATAACTCAACACTGACCGATATATTCGGCATAGGGTTTGTTAAAATAACGAAAATCATTATATGTAGTATATAGGTGTTTGGATAATTCATGAACCAATATAACTAAAACTTATAATATAGTACCTTTGCTAAGATATCTTACATATTGACCAATATATACGGTATAAAGTCAACAGGAAGTTTGAAAATCTTAGCTTAGCTATCTTAAAAGCAAAAGATGCTTCTGAGTTTCATTGAGGTGATAAAGTAAATAAAGCCTTTTGTAAATAAAGAAAACAAAAACCTTTTATAGAGTTTCAAATTCTACGCGGTTTATACAAAAAATGTTGAAATATACGCAAAAAATGTACAGAGCAGCGTCTGTCAGGTCGGCAAGTTTTTTTATATATCCTGGTATTGAAAAACCAACACTCCCCGCGACTTTTTTGATAACGTTCGATATTATGGAGAATATAAAAGAGATTTGCAAGATCAAAACTATTCTATATTCAATTATATCTATTGAACCGGTTAAACACGAAACTATTGTGATAAACAACGTGTGTTAGATGCTCTAATAAGCATAAAAACATCGGCAACAAAAAGTTTCTAAATCTATAGCTGAAATATCAAAACATATTTCAGAAAATGTTGACTTGAAGTGACGAGATGTTATTTTCAAAATTAAAATACCTCATAATTTGCAACGATCAAAGCCGGTGAAATACTTTCAGATGTTGTCAAAACTTTATACTAAACAAGTAAGAAGTGACATTAAATTTTATGATGATAACTCACTTATTGCCCGATATATGTATGCATATGCTTCGAAGTCAAGCGGAACTTTGAAAATTCGTATATCAAGTATATGACGTTCATGGGAAGCATAGTACCCGATTTTACCTATTTTTAACACCAAGACAAATTATTTCCAGGAAAAGACCTTCACTAAGTTTCATAGTTATATATCACAGATTGCCCGATATTTTCGGTAGAATCAGCCGTAAGCATTCAGGTCCACACCACATTATTATAGTTCCATTCTGCATAGTTGGTCTTCGGCCACGCACGAATAATTAACCCTGGTCGATCAAAAATTTATCACTTTAGTTATGATTTAACGCAGTGCATTTTTTAATACGAAATAAGTGTGTAGAAACAAATTCGTATAGTGTTATCAGATATTAAAGTACAAAACATAAATGTAAAATTTATTATAAATCGAAAAAATGCTTTAAATTGTTTATTTTTTTAACTTTAAATGCAAAAATCTTAAAATCCGTTTGTCAGCAGCAGCTATACATAACTTTTCCAGACGCGCAGCATAAACCGGCTAATTTACCTTTGTATTTGAATGCAAAACAGTGGTGGCATTGTTTGTTCATATCATCGATTTTGTGAATGGTACGAATAGTTAATGTCCGACTCATATTCAAACGCAAGGCGAAAAACGATATTTTCACTTCTGAGCTGCACCGAAATGTGCACTCTTTATTAATATTCTTAAGACTTACTTGTTACATAGATCTTACTGCTATTTATACTAACAAGTGTCTCAACTACTAGTTGATAGATTGTTTACATATAAAATATTGTTTGTTTAGATACATTTCGTTTCTTCTAAGGAAAGATTGCTTTAATGTTTTTGGTTTAATGTTGTTTTGATACATTCTGTTCATTCGGAGATGAGGTTGTTTTGATATATTTTGTTTACTGAAACATAAGGTTGTTTTGATGTTTATTTGTTTAGGGTATTTTGGTGATATAATCTGATAACTAATACGTTCCTTAACTCGCGATACACTTGCACTTATGTTCTGACTGTGTCGAAGACTTTGTGACGGTCCAGTTTTTGTCTCAATGCATTAACTTGAAGACGTTCGTTGCTTTGCTCTTGACTTTCATTAGCACGTGTGATTGCAGCCTGGTCTGTAAAATTCTCATTGACCGTCAACCGATCTTCTGCCGATCTATTTAACCGACGGTCCATCTGTCTACCAATATTTCGTCTTCGGCTACAAATACGTGGCATTGCTTTATATACGTAATTTATATGTGAATATAATACACTCATATAATACATCGAAATGTAATGCGACATCTGAAATATCGAAAGACACCGTACAAAAAAGGTTAGAATGTCAAAATAACGAAACACTTAATATAAAATACTCAAATTAAAATGTCGAAAAATAAACGAAATCACGTAACTTATATCTGAATATAATACGCGCAATATTTACGTAAAAGCATTAGATATAATATCAGCACACAGTGTACAAAAAAGTATAAACAAAAATTCATTCAAGTCGATCCAGCCGTTTAGTTGCAGTATAGATAAATTATCTCCATAGCGGCATTCGCCGCGCTGATTTGTGAATATAATTCATCCAGGGCGGCACCCAAACGCATACAAAAATATTCATTCATATCGGTCCAGCTGTTTAAGAGGAGGTTAGTGACATACACTCACGTACAACATCTGATGTGTTTAACGTGGGTACCTGCTGATGACAGCCTTACCCCGCGGCGCTCAAAAGCACAGCGGATCAAATCAATGAGTTGATCAGCGCCCTGAAAACGCCAATCATTTTTAATACCGATCGGTAGTGTGGAATGGACACACTAACCACTTTGGTAGGGTTCGATGCCTATTTAAAACCTTTGTCGTGTTTTGGGTCCGGCACCTCGTTGCAATTTAACTCCACATTAAACTGACAAAAAGTCAGTTCTTTCCGCCTGCAGCCCGCATTAGCAAGTTTGGAGCGAACTCCCAGGCCCCTGCTCCCAGGGGTACCAGAATTAAGTCTCCGGTCAGACAGCGTAGTCGAAGCTATTACCAGTTGTAATTCTCAGTTAAACGCCTTCGCCCCCNCCCCCTAAGCAATTCACGAGAAAGGGCCCTGACTGTTCGGCATTCCGACTAATGGAGATCATACCGTTAACATCTTAACGTCCGTCAGTCCAGCTAATCCCTATACATCCGAGATCCCTAATGGCCGAGTACATAGGGCACTCTGCGATCACGTGAGCCTAATCCTCACACCGCTCCCTACACAAATACCCCGACCTACCAGATAGGTGCCTTTGATGCAAAAATACAATCAGAGGCCCATGCCCCGTAAGCATAAAACGCAGACTCAACCAAAATCTGAAGTCTGGGTTACCCTCAACAAACCCAACGCCCTGGATGTACTCATAAGTCACCAGACTGTTAGGGCTATTGTCCCACTATTATCCCTATTATCTAGAAGCATCTCGCTCCTTAGATATCCCTCCCTTTCCCTGAATTCTTCATAGGAAATCTCCACGTGAACCTCCTGGACCACAACTCGAGGGCCCAACTTTCGGTTGACAGTCAAGTTCGACCCCACCTTCCCGAATTTTGCGTTAGTCGCCACTCTCTCCCTCTCCAAAATAGAGTGAGTGCGGATATCCGCTCCACCATCCTTAATAGGCCTAATCTCGTAGGTCCTCAAACCTAGTAAAGAACCCACCTCTTTCACTACTTTTTTAATGACTTTCTTAGAGGAAGTTTCAAGTTCTTTGCTCCTGACTACAAACGACCAGGTCTCTACAGGCTTCCGCGTCACCGGTGCAATCGCCTTAAGATGGCCATTCTCGGTAATAACCGTCATTAGTAGTGCTGCATCACCACCGCGCTCGAGACCTACTTCACCCACGCCCAACTTTGCGGGGTGAACAGCCGCTTCCTCAATGGTGTCACTAATTACCAAACGCGACCCCAAACGCGCCTTCCGCTGTGGCGGGGATATTTCCAGTGACCCCGCTGCCTCGCATCCCGACGTAGTATCCATCGTTACCGTCGATGGCCCGGACTCCTCATTCCGAGTAAAGGGCTTAACCCTTCTCCTCCGTGGTGGATGCCTTTCGGTAGGCTGATCCGCCGAGCGTACCTCTGAACAGATGCCAATCGTTCAAACAAGA